GTCTTGGCAAGTGCAGAGGTCAAAAGCACAGACTGGTGTTGGATGGCCCAGGTTCAAATTCTGCAGTGGCCTGGGTGCAGTGGCTCATGCCTGTAATTCCAGCACTTTGGGAGGCTGAGATGGGTGGATTACTTGAGGTCAGGAGTTTGAGACCAGCCTGGCTAACATGGTGAAACCCGTCTCTACTAAAAATACGAAAATTAGCCAGGCGTGGTGGTGTGCACCTGTAATCCCAGCTACTCGAGAGGCTGAGGCAGGAGGATCGCTTGAACCCAGGAGGCAGAGGTTGCAGTAAGAGGAGATCACACCACTGCATTCCAGCCTGGTGACAGAGTAAGACTCCGTCTCAAAAAAAGAGAGAGAGAGAGAGAGAGAAGGGAGGGAGACAGAGAGAATTCCCAAGAACTACCTTGTAATGGAGCTACTCAGGATTACACAATGTCCTGAAAGTAGTAAACTGCATGGCTGCTTCCATCTCAGTGCGCCTCCCACACAGCTGGCACTTGGCTAAGTCTTTAATTTATCTCTTTGAAGACAGGAGAGTGCAGTGGTCAAGGGCTCAAACTACAATCAGAGAACTGGCTAGGGCTCCAGTATGGCAGGAATTGTGTGGCCTTGGGCAAGTTTCTCAACCTTTCTGAGCTGAAGTTTCTTCATCTTGTGTCGGACCCCAAACCCCAGAGTATTAATCACATTGTCCCCACCTTCACTGGCTGGACTCACAAGGAGGAGGCAGGAGGTCAAACAGGTGGTAGTTCCAGGTAGAAGCCGCCTGGCCAGGGATGGGTCCTGGAAGATGCAAGATCCTAGACTGGTCTGAGGCCCCCTCCCATCCCCTTGAACAAATGAGGAAAGGGAGCCCCTGAGTGAGAAGCAGAACTGGGATGGATCACAGTGCTCAGGACTCCTAGTCCAGTGCTCTCTCTAAAACAGCACCCTCGGGGAGTCTGTGTGTTTCAGGTATAGGCACCAGGACACCAGAGAGTTTTCCCCTCAAGACTCTACCAACAGAATATCCAGAATGAGTAAACCCATAGAGGCTGGGTGCTATGGCTCACACCTGTAATCCCAGCATGTTGGGAGGCCGAAGTGGCAGATAACCTGAGGTTGGGAGTTCGAGACCAGCACGACCAACATGGAGAAACCCTGTCTCTACTAAAATACAAAATTAGCCAGGCATAGTGACACATGCCTGTAATCCCAGCTACTTGGGAGGCTGAGGCAGGAGAATCTTTTGAACCTGGAAGGTGGGAGCTGCAGTGAGTCGAGATTGCATCATTGCACTCCAACCTGGGCAACAAGAATGAGACTCTGTCTCAAAAAAAAAAAAAAAAGAAAGAAAGAAAAAAATAATGAAAAATAGGCCGGGTGCAGTGGCTCACCCCTGTAATCCCGGCACTTTGGGAGGCTGAGATGGGTGGATCACCTGAGGTCAGGAGTTTTCAGGACCAGCCTGGCCAACATGGTGAAACCCTGTCTCTACTAAAAATTCAAATATTAGCCAGGCGTGGTGTTGGGCACCTGTAATCCCAGCTACTCAGAGGCTGAGGCAGGAGAATTGCTTGAACCCCGGGGAGCAGAGGTTGCAGTGAGCCAAGATGGAGCCACTGGACTCCAGCTTGGGCAACAGTGAGGAGACTCCATCTCAAAAAAAAAAAAAAAAAGAATGAAATGAAAAATAATGGTACTAGTAGCTAACAGTGGACAAGTGCTAGAGGGGTACGGGAGATAACAGGAGGGGCTGAGGGCTGGGAGAGGGGAAGACTTGGCAGAAAGAGGTAAGGTTGACGTGGTGGAAGGGTTTGAGGGAGGGTCCCAGCTGCAGGTGAAGGTAGTCTGGAGGAAGCTGGCTTCGATCCCTTGACCTGCAGGGGAGAAGCAGAAGGAGCGGGACTCAGGGAAGGCCCTTGCAGCCACTGGGCTGTTAGCCTCCTCTTGGACTGGAAGGTTCTGGTTGGGAGGCAGGGCCGCATCCTTTGAGCTGTTTCACTTTCAGAGCGACATCACAGGTGGATGGTTCTTTTAAAAACCCTGGCACCAATGGAATGAAATGGAACACGTAGGCAGCAGGAAGATTCGCCGCCGCCGCCCACACCAGGGAAGTGAGGCTGGCATTGGGCTCTGTGTGTGCCACCTCCAGGCAGCCAGGAGACTCCCTAGGGCAGAGGGGGCCTGCCTAGCACCCATGGCAGCTTCAGCAGTTGCAGAGGGCAGCACCCCCTGGGGCATGGGGTGGGGGAGGGAATGGGTGAGCACCACAGGCTCTTTTGTCAGACCCAGGAAGGAGAGTGGGGGCAGCTACCGGAAGTAGGGAGATGCGAAGCTCCCTCCGGAATGTATGCCCCCCTCTCCCCTCCCCTCCCCACATGCACAGCCCCTGCACATGCTCAGTGTGCCCATGAATTAGGTTGGTTGGGGGAGGGCACTGACTGGCACCCCCACTTAAAGGGCCAGTGCCACACTTGCCTGTTCCCAACAGGGCAATGGGACCTGACCACCTTTCCCCCAGTACTGTTACTTCCCTCTCTGGCAGCTTCCTCCTGCCCCACCCCACCAACCTCTGCCCACCCCTCTCCCTCATTCCCTGACCCCATTGCAGGCAGGGTGTGTACAAGGGGCACAGGAGTTTCCCACTGGGGTCTGGGAGTTCCTGCCGGGGAGGAAAGAGGGATCCTAAACCAGGCTGGGCAGGACTGGTGGGAGGTTTCAACAGCCACTCCCATGACACATGTGTTCTCTGCACTTCCCTCCCCTGGCTCAGGTGACTAACAGGGTCCCAGAAAGCACAGGGCCTGAGGGCAGCTCTGGAAAGGCCCAGGGAGGCTGTGTCCAGGCCCAACCTCCCTAGCTAAGGGCATGTGATGCGGGGGTGGGGGTGTCTTGTAAACTGGAGCCTCCACCATTGCAGTGGGCGGAGTGGAGGCCCAGGCTTCAGGACCAAGCAGCAGGTGTGGGAACAACTGGAAGCAAAAGGGGCGGGGCACCGAGGGACCCAGGCCTGGCTCCCACCCACGGCTGAGCCCTTTCTCTCCAGTGCTGACCCCCAGCTCCGGCCCCAGGACGATCTCCTCCCTGCACACCCCTTACCCAGGAGTCAGGGAGCCGGGGGAGGGGGGGGCGGGGGGGGTGCAGATAGGGACCCTCTTCACGCACCCCTCCCATTTGGGTTCAGGCCCTCCCACACGCCCGGCTCACATCCTCTCCTTTGTTCTCCTTGCCCCACCCGACCTGCAGCCTGGGGGAAAATTAACCCACCGAGGTGCTGCTCTGTTTGCACCCTTCAGCCTTTTATGTGTAAGGGGGACATTGGGGAAGCAGCTGGCAGCTTTCCTGCCTCCAGACTCCTCAGCTTCTGGGCCAAGAAGGGCCAAACTCTTGACCTGCCCTGACTGGCAATGGGCCCCCAGCGCCCTCACCCACACCCCTCCCCCCACACTCCAGCAGCCCTCTGGAATCTACTCTCACCTCGTAGACACACACATACACACACACACACACACACACACACACACACACACACAGGCACCTCCGGGTAAACAACCTTTGTCCACCTTTGTCCTGGGCCTCCTCTCTCCCTCGGGCTCCATGCTTAGGAATGCAGCTCGGAGGCTGCCAGCAAAAGGCCAACAGGCCTCTGGGTCCCAGGCTAGCACCCCACTGCACCTCACAGGGGCAGGCAGGCCTCCGAAGGCTCTCCTGGAATCCAAAAAGCCACTAAGCCTCTGGTTTCCTTGCTAAGCCTCTGGTTTCCCATCTGCAAAGTGGGGATGATGATTCCTGCTGCCCTTCCTGACTGAGCTGTCTGAGGACCCAGGCTTCTAGGGGTCAGGTACCCCAGGATGGGATTTTGCTTTGTCTTGAAACCCATGCATTCCTAGAATCTGTTCTGTGTTTCATTGTAGAAGGCTCTGGCCAGGCCTGGGTGTGGCAGGGCAGAAACGAAAGTTGTCCTGGCAACACACAGGATTTCATCAACATTTCCATCCCTGGGCCGAGTCTTGTCTTGCCCAATGTGGCCTGTCAAGATGAGGGCCTGGAAGGGAAGCTAGGCTGGGCAGCCAGGCCTCTGCTCCTCCCCTTGCCTGGTGGCAGAGCCAGCACTAGCTCACTGGTGAGTTGACTAATGTCCTCTGCCACCCCTGGTTATCCCTGTTCATTGCTGCCTGACACCCAGTGCCGGCCTGCAAGGGTACCAGGAGGGGATGGAAGAGACAGGGTGTCTGGGGAAGGGTGGGCCTGAGTGTGAAGGGGTGGGTGAGCTCATTCTCAGAGCCCGGTGCTGGCTGGTGGTATCTGCGTTACTCAGGCTGACCCAGCTCTCTGATGTACAGACAGGCTAGGGCCTCACACACTTCACAGGGAATTCACACCCACGTGGTGAGGCGGAGAGGAGCAGGACGCACAGATGCATGGCAGGCACCAGGAGAGCCGGGCTGCTTTGCTCTAAGGGATCCATGCGCTGCCCCCCTCTGCCTCTTGACTTTATTTTCTACCAGGAGAGCATCTCCCTTAGTACCCTCAGGAGGTGAGGAGACAAACACAAACATTCGATGGCTAACCTCGGGGGGCCCAACCCCCTGCAGAGAGGGGTCAGGGTTGGGGGGTGTTAGGAACAAAGAGACACAAGGCACCCAGATCCTGCCTAGTCCAGCGTTTAAACTGCGAGGAGGAGAATACAAGGAGCTCAGAAGCAAACTCTCAAGGAACCCCTGGGCCTGGGCCTTCTCCAAAAGCCCCCCGCTCTCTCTCCTCCAGGGAAAGCTCGCAGCTCCTCAGAGCAATCTGGCCAAAACTGGGGGCTCCTGACTGAGTTCCCTCCCACCTAGAAAACCTTCCATGCAGCCTGATTGCTCCAACACCCACAGAGCAGGATTCAGGTAACCTGGAGATCTTGTCACGCCAGGCTTGGGACAGCAGGGACTGGGGCCCCACTCAGACCTCTGTGGGGCAAATGTTTTGTTTCTCAGAACAGCCCAAGTGAAATCAATCCTAGACACCCGCCATTTGCTCCCACCAAGACCATTTAATTTCTCTGTAAAAAGTAAGCTGACATGGAAGAACCAACTGTGAAAATGGTGAGGTGGGAGTCTGAATCGATTTAGCTGTTCTCAGGGGGCACAGGGTGTTGAGGGTGGTTTTCATCTGCCACCTGCCTCCTTGAGACCCAGCTGACCTGAGTGTGCATGAAATAAGACCTACTCCTTGTGTCCACCAGGCTCGGGGGCACCCCTAGGTACCCGGCTCCTCGTCACAGCGGCAGCCCTCTCGGTTCCACATCTGGTTCTCCTGCCGAAGCCTCTGGTTCTCCGTCCGGAGCCTCTCGACCTCGGCGGCCAGCTCCTCCACCTGGCGGCAGGACTGCTGGCCCGTGCATGCCTGCAGCTGCTGCAGCCTCCTGGTCTCCTCCTCAGCCTGCGACAGCCGCTTCTCCAGCTCCAGGTAGTCTCGCACCAGCTCCTGCTTGCTGCGGCCATGGAGGCTCTCGGTGCGGAAGCGCTCGTAAGCCTCAGAGAAGTCCCTCTGCTGGAACTCACCGTGTGCTCGGCCTCGCCCGTCACTATCCCCAGCCTCACTCTCCCCACTGGAACCTGGGTGGGAGACCCCAGGGGGCACATCCAAGTTGGGCTCTTCTGGGTCTCGGTCATTCATCAGGAACTGGGTGGTGTTGTAGGGGGCCACGGGCTGGCCTTTGGCGAACATCTGCTCTCGGACCCGGGACGCCCTCTGGCTCTGCCTCTCATCCCGCTGTTGTTTCTCAGCCCAGCTCAGCTCCAGGTAGGGCCGCCAGTGCCGTCTGCGCTTCGACGGCCGCCGACGGTGTTTCTTCCGGGCCAGTATGGCCTCCGCTGAGCAGCCCCCTGAGCTCTGGGTCCAGGGACTCCTACTGTTCCAGCCCAGGCCTCCAACAGCCCCAGCAAGATCTTCATCCTCTGAGTGGCTCTCCATCCGGGGTGTCAGGGGTAGGGAACCACCAGAGTCATGAGGCTCAGGGGGTGTTTGGGGGCTCCCTGGGGTACCAGAGTTCTAAAGAGAGAGAGGAGGAAGAAGGATGGATCAGACAATCTGTCCCTGGAGATGGAACCCTTCCCTCTCTACCCAGCGTGAAGCCAACCTTCCCACACTCAGCTAACTTGGTCACTCTTAGCCCTTCACCCTTTTGCAACCATTTGTTTACAAAGTTACCTGTCTACTGTCTGTCCCCCAACCTTCCCCAAGTAAACTCATGGTGACAGCAGGAATTTTGCCTGTGGGTTTCACTCTGTAATTTCAATGCCTAGAATAATACCTGGCAATGAGTAGGAGTTCCATAAATACTGTCCAAATGAGTAAAGTAGGGGAAGGAGAACACTGGGATAGAAGATGGATCTTGATGCATTTGCTCGGTCAGAAGCCCAAATGGCACCTGCTCTTCCCTCTTCTCAGAAAACCTAACTTTCAAACGAGCTGGCTTCATGAGCAGGTGACCTGTGCAGTCCCACAGAGGCCCTGCACCTGGCTTCATGCTGTCCTTGTCTTAAACTTTTTGTTTAAAAAAAAAAAAAAAGCCAGGCACAGTGGCTCACGCCTATAATCCCAGCACTTTGGGCAGCCGAGGCAAGTGGATCACCTGACGTTGTGAGTTCAAGACCAGCCTGACCAACATGGAGAAACCCTGTCTCTACTAAAAATACAAAAAAAATCAGCTGGGTGTGATGGCACAGGCCTGTAATCTCAGCTACTCGGGAGGCTGAGGCAAGAGAATCCCTTGAACCCAGAAGGCAGAGGTTTTGGTGGGCCAAGATTGTGCCATTGCACTCCAGCCTGGGCAACAAGAACAAACTCTGCCGGGCGCGGTGGCTCAAGCCTGTAATCCCAGCACTTTGGGAGGCCGAGGCGGTTGGATCATGAGGTCAAGAGATCGAGACCAACCTGGTCAACATGGTGAAACCCCGTCTCTACTAAAAATATAAAAAATTAGCTGGACATGGTGGTGCGTGCTTGTAATCCCAGCTACTCAGGAGGCTGAGGCAGGAGAATCGCCTGAACCCAGGAGGCGGAGGTTGCGGTGAGCCGAGATTGCGCCATGGCACTCCAGCCTGAGTAACAAGAGCGACACTCCGTCTCAAAAAAAAAAAAAAAAAAAAAAAAAAAAGAACAAACTCTATCTCAAAAAAACAAAACAAAAACAAATCTTTAGTTTTTATTTTATTTTTTGAGTGAGGAGTCTCACTCTGTCGCATAGACTGGAATGCTATGGCGCAACCTTGGCTCACTGTAACCTCTCCCTCCCGGATTGTCCAGCCTCAACCTCCTGAGTAGCTGGGATTGCAAGCATGTGCCACCATGCCTGGCTTTATTTTTGTCTTTTTAGTAGAAATGGGGTTTCAGCATGTTGGCCAGGCTGGACTCCATGTCAAAACAAAAGAAAACAAACAAACAAAACACAACTTATTTTTGGAGACAGGGTCTCACTCTGTTGCCCAGGCAGAAATGCGGTGGTACAATAATAACTCACTGTATGTAGCCTCAAACTCCTGGGCTCAAGCAATCCTCCTGCTTTAGCCTCCCAAGTAACTAGATCTGCAGGCATGCGCCACCACACCTGGCCACTGTCTTTAACTTTTTAATAATTTTTGAACAAGATGCCCTTTTGCACTGGGCCCCCCAAATTATGTTGCTGATCCTGCTTCTAGCTGTTTGCATGGCTGACTTTTTTTCATGTTGTGTGTATGTGTATGTGTGTGTGTGTGTGTGTGTGTGAGACAGAGTCTTGCTCTGCACCCAGGAGTGCAGCAGAGCCGCCTCGGCTCACTGCAACCTCTGCCTCTGGGTTCAAGCAATTCTTCTGCCTCAGCCTCCCAAACAGCTGGGACTACAGGCGCACACCACCACGCCCAGCTAATTTTTAGTTTTTTTTGTTTGTTTGTTTGTTTTTTGAGATGGAGTTTTACTCTTGTTCCCCAGGCTGGAGTGCAATGGCGTGATCTCGGCTCACCGCAGCCTCCGCCTCCTGGGTTCAGGCAATTCTCCTGCCTCAGCCTCCTGAGTAGCTGGGATTACAAGCACGCACCACCACGTCCAGCCAATTTTTTGTATTTTTAGTAGAGACGGGGGTTTCACCATGTTGACCAGGTTGGTCTTGATCTCTTGACCTTGTGATCCACCCGCCTCGGCCTCCCAAAGTGCTGGGATTACAGGCTTGAGCCACCGTGCCCGGCCTAATTTTTAGTTTTGTATTTTAGTAGAGACAGGGTTTCATCACGTTGGCCAAGATGGTCTCGACCTCTTGACCTCAAGTAATCTGCTCGCCTCAGCCTCCCAAAGTGCTAGGATTATAGGCATGAGTCACTGTGCCTGGGTGTTTGGTTTTTTTTTTGAGACAGAGTCTCATTCTGTTGCCCAGCCTGGAGTACAGTGATGCAATCTCAACCCACTGCAACCTCTACCTCCCAGGTTCAAGCGATTCTCCTGCCTCAACCTCCCAAGTAGCTGGAACTACAGGTGCCCACCACTACACCCAGCTAACTTTTTGTATTTTTAGTAGAGACAGGGTTTCACCATGTTGACCAGGCTGGTCTCAAACTCCTGACGTCAGGTGATTCACCCACCTTGGCCTCTCAAAGTGCTGGGATTCAGGCGTGAGCCACCGTGCCTGGCCGCCTTTTTTCATCTTTTAGAGCTTAGCTCCAATGTCACTTCCTCAGGGAAGCCAGGCCCTCCTTGACTACCCTACCTAAAGTAGACTTCTCCATCTCCCCTCCCTAGTGATTCTATCATGTCACACAGTTAGCACATAGCATTTAACATACGGGCATTTAACATCTGTCTTGCTCCTGTGAGAATGCATCTTGTCTGACCAACTCACCACTGTATCCCTATGCGCAGCACAAGGGAAGTGCTCAAAATATCTGCTAAGTGACCTAAACCTTATAAGATAGGGAGATCCAAAAGATATTGGGAAATAAGACTCCCGGCCAGGCACAGTGGCTCATCCTGGTAATCCTAGCACTTTCGGAGGCCAAGGTGGGTGGATCGCTTGAGCCCATAAGTTCAAGACCAGCCTGGGCAACACGGCGAAACCCCATCTCTACAAAAAATTACCCAGGCATGGTGGTCAGCACCTGCAGTCCCAGCTACTTGGGAGGCTGAAGTGGGAGGATCACTTGAGCCCAGAAGGTTGAGGCTGCAGTGAGCCCTGATTGCGCCACTGCACTCCAGCCTCAGTGACAGAGCCGGAGTCTCAAAAAAAAAAAAAAAAGGAAAATAAGACTTCCTTCTCTATCTTTCTGTGGTAAAGAAAATGCAGCGTGCCAGGTGCGGTGGCTCATGCCTATAATCCAAGCACTTTGGGAGGCAAAGGTGGGTGGATCACCTGAGGTCAGGAGCTCGAGACCAACCTGGCCAACACGGCAAAACTTTGTCTCTACTGAAAATACAAAAAAATTGGTTGGGCATGGTGGCACGCACCTGCAATCCCAGCTACTTGGGAGGCTGAGGTAGGAGAATCGCTTGAACCTGGGAGGCAGAGGTTGCAGTGAGTTGAGATTGCGCCACTGCACCCTAGCCTGGGCAACAGAATGCGACTCTGTCTCAAAAAATAAAACAAAGCAAAATAAAATAAGATAGAGAACATATTTATTCCAGGCACAAGTTGGTAGTTGGTATCACTCTCCTATATGAATGGCAGGAAAGAGCTCCTCTCCAAGGACAGGGAGGGTCAGCCTCTAGTCTACAGTGGGAGAGTTCCAGAACTTATCTAAGAGGTGGAAAGGCTCTGTCAAGAAAGTGTATGTTCAGCGCATCTGTTTATCTCTGTTGTGGGAAGGGTGGGAGTACTGGGTGTGTGGGAGATGGGGAATGAGTTGCTCTAAGTTTGTGGTTTGGGCGATTTCTAATAATAACCACTACCATTGGTATGTTGTTGAATAATACGCAAAACAGTTCAGAGACATGTGAGCATGGCTCTGTACACATGGGGTGTGTGTGTATTGAGGAATGTGGTGTATGCAGCCCTTAAGAGCCAGGCACGGCTGGGCGTGGTGGCTCACACCTATAATCCCAGCACTTTGGGAGGCCAGGCAAGAGATCGAGATCATCCTGGCCAACATGGTGAAACCCATCTCTACTAAAAATACAAAAATTAGCTGGGTGTGGTGGCATGCGCCTGTGGTCCTAGCTACTCAGGAGGCTGAGGCAGAAGAATCCCTTAAACCCAGGTGGAGGTTGCAGTCAGCTGAGATTGCACCACTGCACTCCAGCAAGACTCCGTCTCAAAAAAAAAAAAAAAAAAAAAAAAAAAGCCAGGCACATGTCACGTGTGTTGTGCAGACCCTGAAGAGAATTTCAGGGAAAAGGAGGTATGTTGGGGTGTGTGTGTATGTGGGGTTTGTGGTGTTACTTCACCTGCAGGGAGATCACCAAATATAAAAAATAGCCCTTGTCTCCAACAGTGGCTGGGCCAAATGAGACAGAGCTGTTGCCCCACCTGGGAGAGGCAAGGCCACTGAGACACCAAGGCAGAGTGGCTTTTTGGTATGCATAATCAGTCACACGCTCCCATCCCTCAGTAAAAGTGCCCTGTGGATCCTCCACCTCCATCTAAGCAAGCCTGGCACCCCGACCCTACCTGCTCCCTCCCTCTTGAAGACTTGGCCCTCTACTACCATGACCACTATGGTAGATAAGCTGTGTGACGTTGCTGAACAGTGTAGCCCTGACATGTCATGAATTCCGAATTCAGTCAATCCACAAAACACGGAATGGGCTAGGCAGGGTGGGTCAGAAGCTCTCTGGCCCCTGCCCTAAGCTCCCTGCTCATCTACAGGAAGTCATGGACTAAGGGAGAATGGGTAAGGGTGGGTAGTGAGAGAACAAGCATGGGCTCCCGTTGCCAGGTTGGAAAGGGGCATCTTCTGAGGGTCTGATACGATCCTACCCGCTACCTCCATTCCAAGCTACAATTATTAAGACAGAGTCTCACTTCGTCACCCAGGCTGGAGTGCAGTGGCATGATCTCAGCTCACTGCAACCTCTGCCTCCTGGGTTCAAGTGATTCCCTTGCCTCAGCCTCCCAAGCAGCTGGGATTACAGGCATGCACTACCAGGCCTGGCTAATTTCACGATTTTTTTCTTCTTTTTTCTTTTTGAGACAAAGTCTCGTTCTGTCGCCCAGACTGGAGTGCAATGGTGTGATGTCGGCTCACTGCAACCTCTTCCTCCTGGGTTCAAGCAATTATCCTGCCTCAGCCTCCCGGGTAGCTGGGATTATAGGTGCTTGTCGCTACGCCCAGCTAATTTTTAGTAAAGATGGGGTTTCACCATGTTGGCCAGGGTGGTCTCAAACTCTTGACCTCAGGTGATCCACCTGTCTTGGCCTCCCAAAGTGCTAGGATTACAGGCGTGAGCCACTGTGCCTGCCCTGTTTTATGTTTGTTTGGTTTTTTTTTCTTTTTTAAATTTTCCTTGCCTCCGTTACGTGAAACATCTGAATCCCATGGCCTGTTTTTTGAGATGGAGTCTCACTCTATCACCCAAGCTAAAGTGCAGTGGTATATCTCAGCTAAGTGCAACCTCTGCATTCTAGGTTCAAGTGATTCTCCTGCCTCAGCCTCCCAAGTAGCTAGTATTACAGGCATGTGCCACCATGCCAGCAAATTTTTGTATTTTTAGTAGAGATGAGGTTTCACCATGTTGGCCAGACTGGTCTTGAACTCCTGGTCACAAGTGAATAGCCTGCCTGGGTCCATTCCAAATTATGAACCAGAAACTCTTCTTCCTGCTTCAGACTTGGTTCTTAGCCTGGACAAAATGCAAACATTCAACCAAGTCCCTCCAAACCCTCTTTGGATTTGAGTTCAAGGCAAGGTTCTGTTGTCAGAAGGCCCTACATTTAAACCCTGAGTCTGTTGCCTATAGGCAGCATGATTCTGGAAAACAGGTATTTCAGGTCTCAAAACCTTAGCTTCTGGGAATTGGGAATTGGAAATATTTCCTACCTGAAAGGATTTTTTTTCTTTTTTTTTTTTTTTTTTTTTGAGTCTTGCTCTGTCGCCAGGCTGCAGTGCAGTGGCGAGATCTTGGCTCACTACAACCTCCACCTCCCAGGTTCAAACAATTCTCCTGCCTCTGCCTCCAGACAGCTGAGATTACAGGCGCATGCCACCACGCCCAGCTAATCTTTTTGTATTTTTAGTAGAGACAGAGAGACAGGGTTTCACCATATTGGCCAGGCTGGTCTAGAACTCCTGACCTCGCCCAGCCTTTTTTTTTGAGACGGCGTTTCGCTCTTGTTACCCAGGCTGGAGTGCAATGGCGCGATCTCGGCTCACCGCAACCTCTGCCTCCTGGGTTGAGGCAATTCTCCTGCCTCAGCCTCCTGAGTAGCTGGGATTACAGGCACGTGCCACCATGCGCAGCTAATTTTTCGTATTTTTAGTAGAGACAGGGTTTCACCATGTTGACCAGGATAGTCTCGATCTCTTGACCTTGTGATCCACCCGCCTCGGCCTCCCAAAGTGCTAGGATTACAGGCTTGAGCCACCGCACCAGGCTCCCAGCCTTTTTTTTTTTTTGAGACAGAGTCTCGCTCTGTCCCCCAGGCTGGAGTGCAATGGTGCAATCTCGGCTCACTGCAACCTCCACCCCCTGGGTTCAAGCGATTCTCCTGCCTCAACCTCCCAAGTAGCTGGGATCACAGGCATGTGCCACCACCATGCCAGGCTAATTCTGTATTTTTATTAGAGACAGGGTTTTGTCATGTTGGTCATGCTGGTCTCAAACTCCTGACCTCAGGTGATCCACCCACCTAGGCCTCCCAAAGTGCTGGAATTACAGGCATGAGCCACTGCACCCGGCAAGTTACTAACATTTCATAACAGCATAGACTGGGATTCCGGCTTATTGCCTAGTGCATAGTAGGGACTCATCAAAATACTGGTTTTCCAAATCTACCAACACGTGAGACAAGAAGTTCGGATGTCAGGTGTGGGACTCATGCCCAGGGCACTCGGGTGGGCAGGAGGGCAGGGCTTACCTTGGCCTCCTCCAGGGCTGCTGGTGACTCTGCATTACAGGCAGTCTGGTTCGGAGTGGCCATCATCTTCCCTTTGAAATCTCTGCAGACGCCTGGAACTAGTGACACCTGTTTTGAACAACAGAAACCCAAGTCCTGAAGGTACGTTCTCAGGAAAACTCCGAATACAAAAATCAGCCGGGTGTGGTGGCGCGTGCCTGCCCATAATTGTTTCCCCAGGCAGCGACAGCCATTTTGTACCCCAGCCTTTCATACCCTCATTCTCAAATTGCAGGCCCCGGAAGGGTGCTTCCACTACTGGGTTTCACACCTCTAGCCAGCAAGGGGGCAAATGGGGTTCAGGAGCCGTTTTCCCAGTCCTGCTGCTCGGGTTCCTCACCAGGGCTCATGTCCTCCTGGAAGTCACCGAGGCCCAGGCTGGCAGCCAGGGAGCCAGGTGTAAGCTTTGTTCCCCCAACCACCAGAGCGGAAAGGAGACTGCCTGGGCAGGCTGGAGTGCAGTGGGGCTGCGGCGGCGACAGGAGAACACGGGGCAAGCTCAGGAGTCCCTTCCCACTGTCGCCAGGGACCCCAATCTTGATGCAGTCCTGCATTCCCAATCTTCTCCCCAAGCTGGGCTCCAAAGGCTAGAAGCACAGCCGGGGCCTGGGCAAAGCCTGGAGCCAAGGCCTTTTTCTCTAAGGTTCTGGCCTGCCTCCCTCCTTCCTCTCAGTAAGGGAAACGGAGGAAAGGGGAAAAGTCTTCGCGCTACATGCGGCTGGGAGGGAAACCCAGCTGGGATAAGGATGGATTTCTTGGAAGAGGTGAAATAGTCATGGAAAGAGGTTTTGCAAAGGTGGAACTAACCTATTATTCGCTGTCAAGGGCTATGCACACCACTACATCTGTGTATCTTTCTGTGCGACTGCCTGTCGGTGCAATTCCCAACGCCTGAGCCCTACCTCTTGCTGCAGTTGCAGCAGCTCTGGTCAAGCCGCTCAGGGCACTAAGATGGGGGGAGGAGATAGTCTGGACGCGCGGTGCCTGCTGGGGATTGTAGTTCTTCTAGCCTGAAAAGCGGGCCAAACGCCTGTCACGTCAACAGCCACACCCGTGATTCCAAAACCCATCTACCCTTGCGCGGGGGGCAGCCCGCGCGCGCACCGCTGCTTTTTTTGATTGGTGAAGTCTTCTGCCAATATTCTCGCTTTTGTCAACGATTAGTTGTGAGGAGGCACAACTGGACCCGCCTTCTCCGAACTCAAAGAGTTCATTGATGGCGTTAATCTTTACGGGGCAGAAAATAGATCCGGCTGAGGTGGGCGGGGCAGCAGGAGCGGAGGGATCCTTGGCCTTTGAGGAAGGCGACGAGAAGATCGGCGGCCATCGCCGCCATTTTGGGCTGGGAGGAGGCAGCGGAGGGACTCGCTGCGCAGTGAGAGCACCCCGTGGGGGGTGGTCCGGGCGCGGGGAGAGGCCGGGCCGAGTGGGCTGCCTGAAGTGGCGGCGCCGGGAGACAACGGGAAGTGGGACCGGGGGCCGGGGAGGGTGAAGGTTGGAGTCTCCCCGGCTGAGCCCGGTCCTCAAACTGTCCCGGCAGCCCCGCAGCCTCGCCTCTCATGGAGTGCGGGGTTCCTCGGTAATTACCGCGTGTTTCCCGAGACCCCGGCAGAGGAGAGGCTGGTGAAACGGCTCCCCTCTGCCGTCCTTCCACAGGGGCGCGGATGCTGAGGCCGAGCTCTGCCGGCCTCCCTCCCAACCCCCATTCGGCCTGGGTATGGCGGCAAGGCCCCGCCGAGAGGGACTCCCACTTCGACTGGCGAGGTGGGGGCGACGCCAGATTTCAGAGGCTGGCGCCGCGGGGGAGGGCGGAGGTCGCAGGTCGCAGGTCTGGCCGCACGTCCCTCCGGTGTGGCAGTCAGCTGGAGGCTCCGAGGGCGGAGATCCCAGTGCACCCACCCACCTTACCTCGCGTACACCAAAGCGCCATCTCGTCTCCCGGGGTGCGAAAAACCACAGCCCTCTCTAACTGTAGCAACCACTAATTCCCCCTGGGACCAGCCAGATAGGGGCACGTGGAAACCTTCACGAGCCCGATGCCTGGAGGTCCCTGAGGCTGTTGCCCTCAAGAATATGTCCCGCCCGGTCCCGATTCTCCGGACAACCTGACCTAGCACGTCGCCAGCCTCCTGGTGAAACGCCTAAAGTGTGCTGTCCCACTTCTCTTGAAAGTTTACACCAAAGGGATGAGGTTTTGCCCTTTACAGGGCTGGGGCACAAAGTCAGAGTCGCCGCGGCTCAGAAGTAGAAATGGAGTGGCCCATTTCGTGTGCTTCATCAACATCTGCTTGGATTTTGAAATCCGAGCGTTAACTTTTACAAAACTTTTAGAGAAATGGCTGCCCTCCTAGAGGGAAAAACGAACTATAGTAATTCCAGTGTAATCTTGTAAGATTACAGAATCTTTAAAGAATTTTTTTTCCCACAGACTAAACAAAATCAGAGTATTTTGTGTGTTACTGGTGCATTGTTACTAGGTAACCTCTATTTTTTGAAATTCCAAATAATTGAAAGACCACTTCTGCAGATCCTAAATGCTATCAAAATAGAAGCTGCAGTTTTTATCTACTTCATATATGTAGCGTTTAGGAGTTGAGGAGACCTGCTTTGAAAGAATAAATTCTCAACCTTACATTATAGCTGTAGCAGCTTCTTAAAGATTGAAGTTTGAAGTGAAATTCTTTTATTGAATTGCAGATTAAACCATCTTATTTCCTGCTGCTTGAAATCTAAATCCAGAGAGATTTGTGGCTCAAGGATATGTTCAAATAAAAGTTTTGTTGCTAAAATGTTAGTTAAAATTATGCCTAGGTAGGCTCTGAAGTAGGGAGGCTCTGACATAGCAGGGTGACGGGCAGTGAATTTTGTGGGTACCTTGTGATGAGTTTCATCAGTTACAAATGGTCGGAACATTCCTAAGCCTTTGGCCTTTCTAGCAAATATCATAAAAGTTTTACTGAACTTGGCACAGTGGCTTACGCCTGTAATCCCAGCACTTTAGGAGGCTGAGGCAGGCGGATCACCTGAGGTCGAGAGTTCGAGACCAACCTGGCCAACATAGTAAAACCCCATCTCTACTAAAAATACAAAAATTAGCCGGGTGTGGTGGTGTGTGCTTGTAATCTCAGCTACTCAGGAGGCTGAGGCAGGAGAATCACTTGAACCTGGGAGGTGGAGGTTGCAGTGAACACCAAACCATTGCCAGCTTGGGCGGCAGAGCAAGACTCTGTCTCCAAAAAAAAAAAGGTATTCCAGAGCTGAAGTCCTGTTCCTCCTATTAATTTTCTTCAGTTGGAGTGACAATTCCATAGCATTAGCCGTTGTTTCCCTCTGCTCTCCAGATGTGTTGCAACTGGATTACAAAATAGGGATCACCATTGAATAGAGTTCTCAATTCAGAACTGAAACCACTTACTCCTAACTGAAGCATCAGTACACTTGATTCCTACTGTGGGTTGATTTTTGACCTATGGCATGTTGGCTCTACACCAGGCGTCCCCAAACTACGGCCCCGCGGGCCACATGTGGCCCCCTAGGGCCATTTATCCGGCCCCCCGCCGCACTTCAGGAAGGGGCACCTCTTTCATTGGTGGTCAGTGAGAGGAGCACAGTATGTGGCGGCCCTCCAACGGTCTGAGGGACAGTGAACTGGCCCCCTGTGCAAAAAGTTTGGGGGCGCCTGCTCTACACTGATCAAGAGATAAGAGAAGAAAAGCTAACTAACTTGGTAGGAGTTAAATAGTTACAGGAGCAGAAAAGGTTTGTAAAGATTATCTTTTCGGGTCTTCTGTCAAGAACGTAATGGGGGATGATCCTAGACACTTGTGATTCATCATTATGAAGTTACCTTTTTTTTTTTTTTTAATTAAGAGATGGGAATTCATCATGTTGTCCGGGATAGTTTCGAACCCCTGACATTAAGTGATCCACTCGCCTTGGCCTCCCAAAGTGCTGGGATTACAGGCGTGAGGTGCTTGGCCCATTATGCAGTAATGGATGCTCCTAAGTGGCAAATACTGTACCAGCAGCAGAAATTTGTTATTTATAATATTTATAAATGAAACTTACTGTTTTTAAGATTGACCTACAAGCCTTTCAATTATTTGCTTAAAAAAATTGGGAATAGGCCAGGCATGGTGGCTCACACCTGTAATCCCAGCACTTTGGGAGGCCTAGGTGGGCAGATCACAAGGTCAGGAGTTTAGACCAGCCCGGCCAAAATGTTGAAACCCCATCTCTACTAAAAACCACAACGACAAGAAAACACAAAAATTAGCCAGGTGTGGTGGCAGGCGCGGGTAGTCCCAGCTACTCTGGAGGCTGAGGCAAGAGAATCACTTGAACCCAGGAGATGGAGGTTTCAGTGAGCCAAGATCAGGCCACTACACTCTAGCCTGGCAACAGAGTGAGACTTCGTTTCAAAAAAAAAAAAAAAAAAAAAAGAAAAGAAAAATTGGGAATAAAACTGGTTTATTAATGGCCTCCTGGTTATCTAAGGAAAACACAGGACTGAAAATTAGGAGTTCCAAGCTCTATTTCTGTGTGTGCTGCCACACTTGGTTGTCTTGGCCAGAGGCCAAATACTGATGATGAGGCCAAACTGGTCATTTTCTTGCTGAGTCTATTGTTCATCTACTGTCCAACCAGACTTTCAACTTCCTCCTCAGCTTTCCCCTTTCAGATGTGTTGTGTTGTGCTTTTATGACAAATTCTACAAACTCTATGTTCATCAGTTTCCTCACTTGAAAATGGGATTAGTGCTGTCTCCCTCATAAATGCCCACAGGCATTTATACTAACTAGTTTGTTTTTGTTTTTGTTTTTGTTTGAGATGGAGTTTCGCCCTTGTTACCCAGGCTGGAGTGCAATGGCGCGATCTTGGCTCACCGCAACCTCCGCCTCCTGGGCTCAGGCAATTCTCCTGCCTCAGCCTCCTGAGTAGCTGGGATTACAGGCACGTGCCACCATGCCCAGCTAATTTTTTGCACTTTTTTAGTAGAGACGGGGTTTCACCATGTTGACCAGGATGGTCTCGATGTCTCGACCTCGTGATCCACCTGCCTCGGCCTCCCAAAGTGCTGGGATTACAGGCTTGAGCCAGCGCGCCCGGCTATACTAACTAGTCTTAAGTTGATATGTAAACATCTATTCCCTGTAAGTTTGTTATATGGGAACTTCACAACTAATGCCTCAAAGATTATTGGGGCAGTTGGAAAGCCTACCTTACCAAAGATGCCCATAGCTTCACAGAAGAGCCACCCAAGTAGGTTGAATGAGGATCAGTCTTTCAGGATACCCACTGTTTGTTGCCGTGAAGTCCTGGACACTCATTTTGCCTGATGGCCAAATCCTAGGGGCCAGTGACTGTTTGAGTAGGATTCATCGACAGAGGAGGAGTGTTGTGTTTTTTTTTTTCTTTTTGGGGAGACGGAGTTTTGCTCGTCGCCCAGGCTGGAGTGCGATGTCGCAATCTTGGCTCACTGCAGCCTCCACCTCCAGGGTTTAAGCGATTCTCCTGCCTCAGCTTCTTGAGTAGCTGGGATAACAGGCATGCGCCACCACACCTGGCTAATTTTTTGTATTATTAGTAGAGATGGGGTTTTACCGTGTTGGCCAGGTTGTTCTCAAACTCCTGACCTCAGGTGATCTACCCACTTCAGCCTCCCAAAGTGTTGAGATTACAGGCATGAGCCACTGAGCCCGGCTGATTATTATTATTATATTTCCTACTACCTATATAATTGCAGGAAAGGAGTGATTCTTTACAAAGCAGTTCTCCCTCTTCGGGATGAAGAGGCTTGCTTCTGAACTGTTTGATTTCCAAGTTAATCAATTTTTTTTTTCTCTTTTTTTTTGAGATGAAGTCTGGCTCTGTCGCCCAGGCTGCTGGAGTGCATTGGCGAGATCTTGGCTCACTGCAACCTCCACCTCCTGGGTTCAAGCAATTCTCTTGCCTTAGCCTCCCGAGTAGCTGGGATTACAGACGCATGCCACCATGCCCAGCTAATTTTTATATTTGCATTTTTAGTAGAGACAGGGTTTCACCATGTTGGCCATGCTGGTCTCAAACTTCTGACCTCAGGTGATCTACCCACCTCGGGCTCCCAGTGTGCCAGAAGTGCAGGCATGAGCCATGTACCCGGCCAGTTAATTAGTTTTTTATGATCCTCTGTTTAGGTGTCAACATCCTGTTCTTGATATTTTCTCTATTTGTCCAAATGATCAGGTGCAGCGGCACATGCCTGTAATCCCAGAACTTTTGGAGGCTGAGATGGGTGGATAATCTAATGTCAGGAGTTTGAGAACAGCCTGACCAATATGGTAAAACTCTTGTCTCTACTAAAATTACAAAAATTAGCTGGGCATGGTGGTGTGCACCTGTAGTCCCAGCTACTTAGGAGGCTGAGTCAGGAGAATCACTTGAACCCGGGAGATGGAGGTTGCAGTGAGCCAAGATCGCACCACTGCACTCCAACCTGGTGACAGCAAGACTTTGTCTCAAAAAAATAAAAATTGTCCAAATATATTGCTGTTTTATTAAGTACATTTTTAGTAACCAGTGAGGAAGACAGAACTAACCTATGAGATATTCCTCTCTATCTCCTAATTTGGTCTTTTGCCTTTGCTTAAAGGTTGTCCAGGGTTAAACAGATATGCAGAAATCCTTTTTTTTTTTTTTTTTTTGAGATGGAGTTTCGCTCTTGTTACCCAGGCTGGAGTGCAATGGCGCGATCTCGGCTCACCGCAACCTCCGCCTCCTGGGTTCAGGCAATTCTCCTGTCTCAGCCTCCTAAGTCGCTGGGATTACAGGCACGCGCCACCACGCCCAGCTAGTTTTTTGTATTTTTAGTGGAGACGGGGTTTCACCATGTTGACCAGGATGGTCTCGATCTCTCGACCTCGTGATCCACCCGCCTCGGCCTCCCAAAGTGCTGGGATTACAGGCTTGAGCCACCGCGCCCGGCCCTTTTTTTTTTTTTTTTGTGAGACAGGGTCTTGCTCTGTTGCCCAGACTGGAGTACAGTGGTGCAATCTCGGCTCACTGCAACCTCCACCTCCCTAGTTAAAGTATTTCCCCTGGGATTATAGGCACACGCCACCATGCCTGGCTAATTTTTTTGTAGTTTTAGTAGAGACGGGGTTTCACCATGTTGGCCAGACTGGTCTTGAACTCCTGACCTCAGGCAATTCGACTGCCTCAGCCTCCCAAAGTGCTGGGATTACAGGTGTGAGCCACCACTGTGGCCGGAAATACATGCTAGTGTAGATTTCAGAATTTCGGAACTCCAAATTAATTTCCTAATCTGGCCCTCTGGAGGCTAGGTGAAGTTCTGTTGAATAGTTTACAAGACAAGTATTGCTCTCATTTTCTCAAATTATTGTGTTTGGAGCACTCTGAAGTTCTCCCATTTTCCTTCAGGAATTACTTTTTTTTTTTTTTTTTTTTTGGAGACAGATTCTCACTCTGTCGCCCAGGCTGGAGTGGAGTGGCACTATTTCGGCTCACTGTAGCCTTTGCCTTCAGATGGAAGTAATTCTTTTGTCTCAGCCTCCTGACTAGTTGGGACTATAGACATGTAGCACCATGCCTGGCGATTTTTTTTTTTGAGATGGGGTCTCACTGTGTCACCAGGTTGCAGTGCAGGGGTGCAGTTTTG